TAGTTCTTCTTTAAATTTTCCACCATAAAAAGAGGTGACTGTAGACGAAGCCGTGTCTTTAATACCCCTTGATGAAACACATAAGTGTTTTGCGTCCATAAGAATTGCTACGTCCTCCGTTTGAAGTTGGTTTTGCAGATCCTTAGCTATCTGCATGGTAAGCCTCTCTTGAACCTGGGGTCGTTTAGAGAAGTAATTTACTATTCTATTTAGTTTAGAAAGACCGATCACTTTTCCCGAAGAGATGTAAGCTATATGTGCCTTGCCGAAAATTGGAACGAAATGATGTTCGCAGGAACTGTAGAACGTTATTCCTTTCTCTACAAGCATTTCGCTGTAGCGATAGCTGTTCTCAAACAAGGTGATATCAGGTTTATTCAAAGGATTAAGACCACTGAATAATTCATTCACATACATTTTTGCTACACGCCGGGGTGTTCCATTCAAACTGTCATCTTTCAAATCAAGTCCAAGTGTTTCCATAATACCTTTAAAGTGTAAAGCAATTTTGTCAATCTTTTCCTCATCACTTTGCGAAAAGGCATCTTTTCTCATAGGAGTTTCAATAGTTGTATCAGGATTCTTGATCATAGCGTTTTGCTTGTTTGCATTGTTGTTTTGAGAAGTATTTTTATCAGGCTGGGTATTCAACGTAGTTTCTTTCAGTTTCATAAAGTTTTATTTGTAAATCAAATCTGCTCTCTAATTTTGGCCGGAGAAGCAGATAGATAACCTTTGCAATATTTTCAGCCGTCGGATTAAGATGTTTAAATTCCGAAGTATCTAAGTTTAAGTTCTTGTGATCAAACCGTTCAATTACTTCTGTCTTTATATGATCTGATAAAATTTTTAGATCTATGACATATCCGGTTATAGGGTCAGTAACTCCGGTTACTTTTACTATCAAAGTATAATTATGACCATGGTAATTGGGATTGTTACACTTGCCAAATACTAGCTGGTTTTCTTCTGCACTTAGTGAAGCGTTGTGCAACCTGTGCGCCGCATTAAAATGTTCTACTCTGAAAACAGCTGTTTTTTTATCTTCCATTTTTTGTTTTTAATGCGACTTCCATTTTGCCCGAAGTATCAAAAGAATATCTAAATCAGCTTAAAGGCATGTCTTACATAAGACGTCACTAATAGTTTCAATTTTTCCGGATTTGAAACACGTATCCTTTCGTTCAGTACTTGACTTGGAGGAATGCTTTTTATTTTATCAAAAAGGCTTTTATAGTAAATGTATGCGACATATACGCCGAAACACGATCCT